TAACAATCTGAGTTTACTTCTTCCACCACTGCACCAAAGTTGATCCTTTCTCCGAACCATTACAAAAGCTTTTTAAAGATAATAAATGACTCTGGGACATTTGAATAAAACATGTCTTCCCATGAATCACACATGTGTTTACGTTAAGCTCATGTATAATATATATGTATAATTTAGCGGTGCAGTCTCCATGGTAACAGTGCATGTAAATAATGGACAGATATGATGTAGTGCTGCTCCGTGCACAGCTGCTCCCTACAGCCTCTTAATATATACAGGAATCTGCTTAAAGAGGGAAACACACACATCATCAATTAGAATAGAACAAAATATATAACCATCGTCTGCTCCTGCATTTTTAAAAATACAACAACAAGAACTTCTGTGTCTGCTTGTCCTGCTCTAATTACTGTACAGTGACTAGGCAGGAAGGTGCACTGTGGAACTTTTCTGGTGGAGGGTCCGTCAGATGCTTTTGTTTGGAATGTACGTATCACACTATGGTATTAAACAGTTGCAGGTCAGATCTGTGGAGAGGTGAACCCGCTCATGGTCAGAATGTCTGTTTTTTCGAGGTATTTTTGGGCTATAAAACCACCTGTAATCAAATAAATGCGAGGTAGAGCTGTTTAATGTCATACTGTGGAACATTTCAGACAGAGCAATGACATATCCAAAGTTCCATAGTGCACCTTTAAAGGCACTGTACCTGATTTTTTCTGCCTAAAAAACGTAAAAAACAGTTTGAAGTGGTCCAAAATCCTTCTTCACTTATCTTACGCATTGAGAGCATCCGAATTATTCACAATGATGAGTTTATAAGTGCTTTTCACAACTTCAGGAGGCCATAGCTGAGTTTTGCCATAATGGTAATACTAACACAAACTAGCATGCTATCGAGCACGTCCTGATTATCAGACAGTGAAACCATTTATAATGCAGACAGGACACAGTGAACTTGTCTTGATCCTGGGGCAAGACAAGTCCACCCGTAGACCTACCCATAGACTGTTTATATAAATGAACATAGTTAACCCTCTAGCCGAAGCGTTCCAAATAGGAAGTGTTCGTGGGCGTTCTTCCGGCTCCATCGTCTCTGGCTCCAATTCACTTCCTACTGAAAAAACGTCGCCCCTTTGTTGCTGTCAGACTTGTCATTTTGGTCTAAGATCTTCACATACCAAATTAAGATATGAGCATTATTGACAGACTAATGAGCTGCATTTTTTAGCTGAGGACAGGACAAGTTTGATTGACAGCGCCTACCAAACCAGTGGTGTGGGCAGTAAGGGTAAGGGGCGTTACCTTCAACAGCCTGGTTCCTAACTGGCTCTTTGATATTTCTGTGATACTCGCAATCAGAATTCCAAATATGGAACTAGGCTCCAAACTCTCCCCTATAACTGCAAGCCTCAATGAGCTTCATTTGACTGAAAGTTACATACTGTACCTTTAAGAGACCGAAATCTGTAAATATTGCCTAAACGAATACTTTTTCTGTTTAGTAATATTGATTGACTATTAATATGGTTGGTGCTGCATTTACCCGACATGCGCAGCTCGCCGTTCCGCAGACCTGCCCAGATGAACTTTATCTGAGGACGTGAAAGTGCCTTTTTCGCTGAGGACAGGACAAGTTTGATTAACAGCGTTCCTAAGCGTCTACCAAACCAGTGGTGTGGGCCGTCAGGGTAAGGGGCAACAATCACAACCTGGTTCCTAACTGACTCTTTGGTTGCTATGATACTCGCAATCGGAATTCCAAATATGGAACTAGGCTCCAAATTTTGCCCTATCACTGCAAGCCTCAGTGAGCTTCATTTGACTGAAAGTTACATACTGTACCTTTAAGAGACCGAAATATCAAAATATTGTCTAAATGAATACTTTCTGTGTTCAGTAACATTGATTATCTATTAACACGGTTGGTATTGCATTTACCTGGCACGCGCAGCTCGCCGTTCCGCAGACCTGCCCAAATGAACTTTATCTGAGGACATGAAAGTGTAATATTATGGTGATAGCAGCTGTTCTGAGTCAGGAGGACCATAAAACATAAGAGAGCAGGACTGGGGCTGGTTTTACTGCATAATGAGCCTAAATAGTAAATGACTACAATTAGAGAAGCCGTGAGAAGCATCTGATGCTATCTAAAGTTATGCTGCTTTACAAGCTTTTAAATTAATAATTCATCTTTATGCTTTGTTTATTTTAACACACTTTTCTTGATTTTTTGGTGTTGAATAATTGATCAGGCGAGTTTTTAGCTACTCAGCTCATATTTGGAGTTTGCAGACGCAGGAGTCCAAATTGTGTTTACTTTTTGCCTTTATAAAGCAGTATTAGTATTATGTTTAGTAATTACTTATTATGGTCCTGTATTACGCAAAATACACTCTTGAGAGCTTTAAGGCATGTTAGAATATTGTTTCCTCCTTAAAAACATACCTGGAGTTGTGTTTCGTTTCAATAACTTGAGTTTATTGACATTTCCAAAAAGCTCAAAATGCGCTGTTCCACCTTGTGATGTCATGAAGCAGGAGATTTCAAGTTAACAGCTACAGTTTTCCATTAGTTCAGTATAGATCGGGAATTCCAGGGCTAAAATCGTCCAAAATGATTCTAGTGAAGGTGTATGGAGTTTAAAAACACAGTGGAGCACTTCCTCTATTGCCAGAATAAACAAACACTGAATAGTGTATTATTTCTACTAACATGCACAACTTTATTTAAAAGTCTTGAATTAAACTAAGTTGTTATTGTGCCTCTTTGGACCTGTGTTGTTTTCTTACTCCTCTGGCAGATTCAGAGAAATAAAACGCATTAGAAACAGTTGGAAATGTCTCACAGTAGTTCCAAGTAATCTATTTAGCAGATTCCTAGAAACAATAAATATGGATAAAATATATAAATATGAATCAATTCAAGCTCGTCTTTGTGGAGATGTAACATGGAATTGCATTAAACCTGTCTATTTAACCTTTAACCAATTCAAGGTGTTTTTTGTGGCTAAAAATACCTTGAAAAACATATATTCTTACTGTGAGCGGGGCCACCTCTACACAATCAGTCAATCTCCTTGCATCGAACCTGTAATAGGCTCTGTTCACGTTTACGTCACAAACCAGGATGATGTTTAGAAAGATGCGATTACAACTTCCGGCGGGCTCAGTGGTGTGGGCAGTAAGGGTACGGGGCATTGCCTTCAACAACCTGGTTTCTATGATACTTGCGGTCGGAATTCCAAATATGGAACTAGGCTCCAAACTCTCCCCTATAACTGCAAGCCTCCATGAGCTTCATTTGACTGAAAGTTACATACTGTACCTTTAAGAGACCGAAATATGTAAATATTGTCTAAATGAATACTTTTTGTGTTCAGTAACATTGATTGACTAATAGGCTCTATTCACGCTTACGTCACAAATCAAGAAGACGTTTGGAAAGATGCGATTACAACTTCCGGCGGGTTCTGTTTGCAGTAGTAAGTCTGAAAAAAATCTTGGAAAAATAAGAAAATGTCACAGTTTTTTTCATCTCCATGTCATTGTAATGTTCCTTTATGTTCGGTGAATCAAGAATTACAACCATACCTCAGTTTTCATAATTTTCCCACAACTCCGAGTGCGATTAGAAGAGATGAGGTGCAAAATTCCAGATGATTCCAAACAGCACATATGTATGCAGTCTTCATTTTACCGTCGATCAAATGGGTCGGCGAGCCCATTTTCAGGAACTACACCGAAAGTTGTCATTGCATGTTTCCATACGTCTTCCCAGTTTGTGACGTAAGCGTAAATAGAGCCTACTTGACCCCGGTAGTGTCACCCGCTTGTCTCCATGGAGATAAACACAGGAACGACTGATGTACTATTTGAATAATTTAAATGTGGAAATGTGGAAATGTGTGTGACGTGTTTGAATGAGAGAATGAGAAAATGCTTGGTTTTATTAAATTGGGTGAATATTTATATGTATTTTTATAAACCTAACCTAACCTGAACGGGGATTGCAGATGGAAACTACCTTTAGATAAATCTGTCCTAAAGCATAAAAATAATAATAATAATGGATCAGTTTTATATAGCGCTTTTCTGGACACTCAAAGACGCTTGCATCTCTTCTTTTAGAAATTAATGTACTTGCACATGCTCCCTGTTAAAATAAACCAACAAACTAAACTTAGCAAAGCAATGACCTTTTACCAGAAAAGTTACACAGTGCACCTATTTATACACAGTAGCACACACATCGCAATATAATATAATAACAAAGAGAAAAAATACAAATGTTAATAATAAATTCAAAATAAGCATAGCAAGCATAAAAAGAGACTGGCATAATTAAATAAATGTTCAAGTAAATGTAAAATATAGTAATAGAAATACAGAAACCTTTACAGATATCCTACTTTTTGCAGTGTTCATCTACACCAGGGGTCAATAAGCTTTTTTTCTCTGGGGGCCACATTATCGCTCCTATATATTCTTTGAAAATCACCACACTTTCTTTACATATCAGACAAACTGCATGGTCCTTCGCTGAACAAAAAAACAAATCGATCGTCCACTGTTCTTTGAAAACTCTGCACTCTTGTCAACTTTTTGTACTTTAACACTCGCCATTTTGCTGTCCTTAACTGCACTACAGAACTCTGCCCGTGACTAAAATTTGGTGGCAAAAGTAAATACGTCATATAATAATTTAAATATAGATACAAATATAATTACTTCATTCAAATATAACTTTTTAATTGAAAAAAAATTCTACAAAATACATGTTATTATTTGCCAAAAAGTAATTTAAAAAAATAGACCATGACAACTTTTGAGGAATGTCTCCGAGAGCCAGTTCAAGTGGTGAGGGGTAGAGGGGCTGGTCAAAGGGAAGTGGAGGGCCGGAGTCGTCCCGCGGGCCTTAGTTTGATGACCCCTGATCTATACAATATAGTCTGAAAACTCTTCCTAACTCAGCTTTCTGTTTTCTGTGTCTCATTACAGGTGATCAAATCGGACACGTTCAAACACTTGCGTCACCTTGAGATCCTCCAACTGTCCAAGAACCAGATTCGTCAGATCGAAGTGGGCGCGTTCAATGGCCTCCCCAACCTCAACACGCTGGAGCTGTTCGACAACCGACTCACCCTGGTGCCCTCCCACGCTTTCGAGTACCTCAGCAAACTCCGCGAGCTCTGGCTACGCAACAACCCCATCGAAACCCTGCCCGGCTACGCCTTCCAACGCGTGCCCTCCCTTCGCCGACTGGACTTGGGCGAGCTCAAAAAACTGGATTTCATCTCCGACGCTGCTTTCGTCGGTCTCGTCAATCTACGATATCTGAATCTCGGAATGTGCGGACTCAAAGACATTCCCAAACTGACCGCTCTGGTGAGACTGGAGGAGCTGGAGCTGTCCGGAAACCGCTTGGAAATTATCCGACCTGGTTCGTTTCAGGGCTTGATCGCGTTGCGTAAACTGTGGCTGATGCATTCTCAAGTTTCAGTCATAGAACGCAACGCTTTCGATGATCTTAAAAACCTAGAGGAGCTCAATCTGTCCCATAATTCCTTGCACTCCTTGCCTCACGATCTTTTCACGCCGTTACACCAGCTTGAGCGTGTGCATCTTAACCACAATCCATGGGTGTGTAATTGCGACATTCTTTGGCTCAGCTGGTGGCTCAAAGAAACCGTTCCCAGTAATACGACATGTTGCGCACGATGTCACGCCCCGCCATTTTTAAAAGGGAAGTACATAGGCGAATTAGACCAGAGCCATTTTACCTGCTACGCTCCTGTTATCGTTGAACCGCCGACCGATCTCAACGTTACCGAAGGAATGGCTGCTGAGTTAAAATGCCGTACGAGCACGTCAACAACTTCCGTCAATTGGATTACACCAAATGGTACCCTAATGACGCACGGTTCTTATAAAGTCCGAATATCCGTCCTTCACGATGGCACGCTCAACTTTACGAACGTCACTCTCCGCGATACCGGGCAGTACACGTGCATGGTAACCAACGCGGCCGGCAACACCACGGCAACAGCGGTCCTCAACGTTACGGCGGCAGATGCTAGCGTCAACTACACGTATTTCACCACGGTAACGGTTGAAACTATGGAAACGAACGGAGAGGAGGAGCCGGCGCGTGTGGTTATTAATGAAACGTTTTTTCCGACCTCTTCCGGAAATTTTATCCCAGATGGCGTTCCGACTACCGCCTCCTCTTTATCTGCGGGTTGGTCATCGTTATCTCCAAAAGCGACGCGACCTACTTTTACCGTTCCAATTACAGAACCAGGATACTCAGGCCTGGACGACGTTATGAAAACTACCAAAATCATAATCGGGTGCTTTGTCGCGATAACGTTCATGGCCGCGGTTATGCTCGTGGTTTTCTATAAATTGAGAAAGCAACATCAGCTACACAAGCACCACGGGCCGGCTAGAGCAATCGAAATTATAAACGTTGAGGACGAACTCGGCGCGGGAGCTAGCGGAAGAGGTAGCGGAATTTCCGGAGGATCTACCATATCGCAAAGCGGTAGTAGCGGCATAGGAGGAGGTCAGAGTTTAAGGCTACACCATCCTGAAATCGTCAACTTACCGAACCTCGCGCGAACGGAGCATATGAATCACTATTACAAAACGCACCATTTTAACAATAACATGATGAGTCTCGGGATGGGGTCCGGTTTGAATAACAACAACAACCCATCGCCGTGTTCCCAGGCTCAGTCCATATCGTGCACACAAATTCCAACTTCGATCGGAGGAGGTATCCCCACTTGCGGGACCCTTCCCACCCCAGTACCTTTGCCTCAGCTGGGCCTCCACAGTTCGCTGAAAGGCCTCATGGGCAAAGGCCAAAACGAACCCCTCCTTTTTAAAAGCGGTTCGAAAGAAAACGTACAAGAGACTCAAATCTAAAAATCAGAAAAAGGATTAACATGTATTTTTCCCATCGCTAAATTGTTGATGAGAAGAAACGACCAGAAAGAGGAAGTAAGACCAGCTTGGGTATTATGTAAACGCCACAATCATTCAGTTACATGTACAATCTGTTATAATCACTGTTTGCCAAAGTCGGACGAAAAACCAAGCCAGTTTTTATCATCTGTGACCACAATATCAAGAAAAAGCTACGAGCGATGCTATCTGAATTACAATATATCCACTCAGTGTATATATTCGGAGAAAGACTTAATAACGGTTGCTATGCTATGACGGATTTGGCAAGGACACTGCATATTAAATGATGCTTTGAGGAACGTGTTTCTGACCTGGATTTTCATAACAGGACAACAAATCACTTTTTCAACTTTTTTCACCCATTTTGTGGCTACTGTCTTCTCCAGATGGAAAATGCAATGGACAAAGGAAAGCTATATTGATATAAAGGACAGAAAGTACATATTATATATACCGTAAATATATTTTCATTCAAAGAAGTAAATTATAAAAAATTATGAAATCTTTATTGAGTTTTGGGGACATCTGAAGAATATATACAAAAGAGAGGTATTACGTGGTGGCCCGCCTTTGCGATTTTTCAACACGGCCGCTCTGACTGTGCTGCTAAACACAAACAGTATTTTCAGGGGATTGAGGAAAAGCTAAAACAAAAAAAAAACAAATATACGGGATATATATGTAAACGTACGGGAGTGAAAGTATTTTGTTCTATTTTGTAGCCATGCAAAATGTTTTTCGTCTGCTGTTGACAAAGAAGAACTGCGATTGTGGATTATACCACTTTGAATCAGGATGTAACTCTGCTAGTGTTAATAATAGCAAATGCTAAGCTAATAGCGGTACAGAAGAAGATAGCCAGCAGATAAGAAAGCTACAAACAGCTATGACAGAACGCTCGCTGTTTTTGCTAATAAAATCAGTATTCGAAATGGACAAAACGACAACGCTCCCGCTATTAGCATTAAGCTAGCTGCTATTGTTAACACTAGTGCCTATGAATGATTGGAAAACCCACCTCTTTTCATTGTTAAAGATGGATTTATAGAGTTTTGCAGTTAGCGGACGTCACAATGGACAAAATGGATGCTATCGGAACTCCAACACCACAAAACAGGAAATAAAATTCAAACTTGGCTTCCTCTGTCTTCAACGCGCTGAAATTGGATCGAGAAAAAACTTTTGGACAAAGACTTATCACTGACAGAGGAGTAATTCACAGCTGTATTTCCGTGTTTTTCGTGTGCGATTGGATCTGTGCGGGGGAAGAAAAGACTTTGCCATTTTGACAAAGGTAAGCTAACTATCGCTTTTCAGAGAGACTCGAAGTGCAAAATCGTGAATATTTTTTATCCTCAAGACGAGTTAATGAAAAAATATAGAAACTTATAGATCACTTTTGAAAAAATTAAACTACTAAGTGTTTTTTTATTTTATTTTTGGGTTTTTATCTAGTTTGGATTTATTTTTGGTTCATTTTTTATTTTCAAATCAAGTGTTACCTTTCTTGTAATTGTTATTATAATTAGCTGACTACACTGGTTATCATAATGAGAGCTGTTCTGTTAGAGAGGTCACACTGAACATTAAAAAACCTGGCACATAAAATGGCAGTGAAAGTCTGTGGAAAAAATGCTGTCTTGAGTTTTTATTTATTTATATGTCGTTTTATATTTGCATAATTCTGCTTCAAGGTGTCGCCGTCGCATTTGAACGGGTTTTCGAGCAGTTCTTATTAATACTTTGCAGCTGATGTCTTTAATAACCCGTGGAGGTGTGATGCTAACTGTAAGCACTGCTCTGTCTGAAGCTCTGTCACTCAAATTAGACTTTATCCGCTTTTTTTTTAAACACAGTCTGACCAGAGATCTGAGAATCAAACTCCTAAACACGACTACAAATGCTCGTATTGATCACAGGCTCCTGAGAATGTGTTCTATAAATCCATTTTGCACTTTTCTTGAGCTTTCAGACCATCTTAAAACTTTTTTTGGCTGCGTTTGCTAATGTTTGCATTGTGTCACCACGGTAACTTCTAAACATTCGCCATTACACGTCATGCTGTGTTCGTTAATCCATCTTTTTCCCACTCGGATCTCGGATATGACGTCACATCCTCGTTTTAGCCGTTTAATTGTGTTTCGTGTGACCGACTTGGAGAAAAACTTGGATGTTAACGGGAAAGCTGTTGTTGCTTTAGCATTACCGAGTACTAGGCGCTCCAAAATAAGTATGCGCTTCAACTACACAACCTCAATGAAGAATTCAATATAAATACAGTAGTATAATTCAGTATATTAGTGAAGTAAAAGCATTGGTGTCATGTGATAGTAGGGGGACAACCGTTATTCCAACATACCGCCACTCCGACAGACCCCCACCCCGTCATTCTGACAACCCTCCATTCCGACATGCCCCCATTCCGACACTTTTTGATGCCGCCCTTCTGACACCTTTTATGTCGCCATTCTGACAACCTACTCATAGTTTCGAGCGTCACCTTTTTTGCTTTGTATACACCACGTGGACCATGTTTTCTCGCGTGCACTGCGTGAACCCTACGCCACCAGTCCGTGAAAATATTGTCCCGAAAAGAGCATCGCCGCAACTTAATATTTACCTTGTGTGTCAGAATGGTGGAAAGTGGAAAGGAAAATAAAAATGGTGGAGCGCAAGGATGTTTGATAAAAAATGGAAATGCCCCCACTCCGACAGTTAGACGTCAATGTCGGAGTGGTGGTATGTCAGAATGGCAGAATGTTACCGTGATAGTAGATCATTTTGGCACGTTAGCAAGCAAGAAAAGGGCTAAAAACATGGGCGAACGCAAACCACCAAACCCACAGGCAGTAATACGGACACAGTAAAGTACTGCAGTAATACTACCATACCCTATGGACGCAATAAAGTCATTGCAGTAATACTACCATACCCACAGGCAGTAATACGGACACAGTAAGATATTGCAGTAATACTACCATACCCACAGGATACAAACGCAGTAAGGTATTGCAGTAATACTTACCATCCCCACAGGCAGTGATACAGACAGCAGTAAGGTATTGCAGTAATACTACCATACTAGGCAGATACAGACAGTACCCAGTATATGATACAGTAACACAGGCAGTGATATGGATGTAGTAAAGTACTGCAATAACATGAGTGACTGAAAATGTCATTTAAACCACGAAAGTGTCCAAACACAATGAAAACAGTTCATAAAAGTGACACTGGGCGCAGCCTTTTTTCCTCGACCTCCTCCGAGCTCTTCCGAGTTCCACTGTCCGAGGAAAAGGGGCGTGTCAGTGCGTGTAAGTAGGCAACGTCTTCAGACCTTCGAGTCGGATGGATAAACGAACGCACCATTAGTACACGTAGAACACCCCCATTGTGATGTCACTGCAAAGAATCAATAGAAAATAATGTTTGATAATAATTTCGACTATACTGCGTCAAAACCACACACTCATGTTATATTCAAAAGTTTAACGAAGGCCTACAGCGCAATATGGACTTTTTAGAGCTTGTTATAATTGTTTTCCCGTCTCATTTACCCACTCAGTTGTATTTAGAGTGATTCATGCATGCTGAATTGCTGCGATCCACCCCCGTTTTCACCGTCACTGGTACACACCCACTGCTCTGTACTTATTTCGTTTTCCAATTTTACTTTCCTAATCGGTGATACACGTAGGATTCTGCAGTGTCATCTAGCTGTTTGGGCACTTTTTTGTTGTTTTAGGTGAATATTACGCTTTAAAATATCCAAAACATAACAGTGATCCACGGGTGTCACAGATTATAACTGTAGCACACACAAGCACAGTAGTAGTTCTTTATACTTGTTACTTCAGAATAAGAACACATGCAGTTTTCACTCTCCAACATTATCAAAGAGGTGGAACTCTATTCTTTTTATTAGTGCAGATGTCATATCAATTAGAAATAGTAATAGAGCTTTAAAACATTAATACAAAAAGGAACCATCAGCCAGTGTTAATTGTGTTTTCTAAAACCAAATTAAAAAGTAATCAGTGATGACTCAAACTATGACGAAAAGGACAGTTATTTCGGTCAACTAATAAAAACAAAAAACACAAACATTAACAAAAGGGACAGAGTAATGAGCTATGACTATTTTATCTTCCAAAACTTTAAAAAATGACTTAATTAAATCTTCGTACAAGTCGAAACTACAATAGAGTGAAAATGTTAAAGGGCCCATGTTATGTTATTTTCTGATCTGTTATAATGTTGTTTCCTCATCATAAACAGACCTGGAGTTGTGTTTTGTTTCATTCACACGGTTTAATGCACAAACCCTGCTTAGTTATTAGTTTGCGTTCCTCTCTCAAACTGAAAACACTCCTTTCCATCTCGTGACGTCATGTGGTAATACAGAAAGTTCACTAGAATCATTTAGATCATTTGAGCCCTGGAACTGCCAATGTCTTCTGTTAAAAGTTAAAAGGTATAGCTGTTAACTTGAAAACTGCCTCTACATGACATCACAAAGTGGAAAAGAGCATTTGGATTACCGTATTTTTTGGACTATAAGGTGCACTGGATTAGCCTGATTCATCAGACGGTTTCACTTCGTAGAAACCGTTTGATCTCGCAGCGTTAGAATTTGTTTACTTGACGGTAAGCGGGTACTTTTTTTATTTAACCAATCACTGTTATTTGGTCGTGACATATGTAATGCGCTGCTAACAGGGCCAACTGAGATATTAAGTCAATAACGTCTTTCCCTTTGATAAAATTCATCAAACATTCTCTTTGTTCCAACTTTAAATCCTCGATCTCGGGAATCGTTGCCAACACAGAATGTATGGCTCTTCGCTGATTGACTGGTGCCCGAACTCACACTTCTGGGGTTTTTGTGAACCGTCTGGTGTATTCTGATTCCTGACCTAGTCACTGGAGAGAAATGAAATTGAACGGAGGCACTAGGT